AAACATGAGAATTCCTACTGTAGATGGCAAAGAAAAACAAAAGTAGAAATTACATAAAATTAAAAACTTAAAGCAAGACTATGATAGTCTTTTTGTGCAAATGATTGCAATCAGGATGTGATTTTTAGCTGACTTTCTCAACCTTTCATGAACTTAGGGGAACTTAAAATTAACAACTATTTAATAAAAGTAACAGATGCACATGGGTGTCAAATAAGGAAACTTTCTTTGAATTTTCCCAAGGAGATTTATGATTACTTAATCACAGGCTGGAAGGGACACCTAGAACTAAATTGACCCAAGCCTCCTCCTACTCAAAGCAGTGTCAGCTACAGAGGGTTATGGAGGGCCATGACGAGGTGAATTCTCAGTATTTCAAAGGACAGAGCCTCCAGAACCTCTCACTGCACCTGTTCCAATATTCTACCTGCCTCACAGGAAAAAAAGGAATTTAAAATTTTAAATCAATTTTTCTTTGTATTTCAATTTCTACCTGATGTCCTATCACTGATAATAGTCTGACTGTGTCTGCTTTACACTAGTCCAGGAGGTAGTTTTTATGCATATGGATAATATCCCCCTTCCAGCCTTCTCTTCTCCAACCTAAACAATCCCAGAACCAGCAGCCTTGCCTTGTACGTGGGATGCTGCCAAACTATCTTTAAGGTAGTTGATTAGACCTGATTTGGATGTCCTTTCCTCCTTTCTACTAGGGAGCCCATTGCTGGACCCAGTATTCCAGACATGGCCTCAACAGCCCTGAGTAGAAAGGAATGATGAACTCCATTGACCTTCTGGCAATATTTCCTAAAGCAGCATAGGAGGCTGCTGGCCCTCTTTGCACAAGGGCACAGCACTGGCTCATGTTCAACCTGATGTTCACCAGAACCCCCAAGATCCTCTTCTGCAGAGCTGATGCCCCAGCAGGGACTAGTGTAGAGAGAGGTTTATTCCTCCTTAGATTTTGGACTTTGCAACACCAGTTAGAAAAACAGAGAAAAATCACTTCTAGAGCTATCCTCACACAGATGTACATTGCCATGCACCCCTGAGCTCCTCACACAAGTTTTGTTTCATGCAAAAAAAGCCACTGCCAACATATATATATATCAGACTGTCACAGAGACACTGCCAGTTCTGGTCTCAGTGTGCCAAGTGCACACATTATGTAAGCATATCAAGTGCCTGAGACTATGTAAGGACATTTACGAAAGTGTGTGCACAGTTGTGCAGACGTGTATCTTAAAATACAGTTCTGAGTTATCTCTCTGTTGACATCCCAGACTCAGTGGACTCCACTTATAAAACCAGCTGATGAAACCCCATTTGATGAACTATAAAAGATCACCACTCTATCATTCCATAAAGCAGACTCCCTCCCATAACAGAGATTCACATCTTTTTCCCCCTCATCTTCTTACGGTTACAAATATTTTTTCCTGTCTTTTTCTTTGGAAAAAATCATGCTGACTCATTTTCTTGTTGCTGTACTTTCTTCAGTTTTGACCATGACAACTAATACTATAAGGATGAACAATGTAAATACTTAAGAGATTTTTAATTTCTGCTACATTATATACAAGAAAATGTGATGAAAGGACTGAAACTTTACTCACCTTCTTCAGAAGACAGCTCATTAAAAATCACTAACAACTTTTAGTGTAAGAGCAGGAATTGACCTAAAGTCCTGAGAAAACCAACACTGAAAGGAGGGTATACTTTGATTTGCATTCCTAAAGGAACATTAATTAGAATTAGGATATTTCAATTTAGATTATTTTTATTTCTAATCTTTATTCCCCTCTAGTAACATCTCACTACTTCTATAAGAAAAAGATATCAGAGCAAGTAAAGAAGAGGATGTAGTATCTATGAGGCCCTATTAAGTTGGAGACTTAATTTGAAATTTCATTTTTCAGTAATATTTTATTAGTAAATAGGTTTTTAAATACATCACAGCATAAAGATGTCCTTATTCAATCTCAGCATTTTTTGAGTGAAAGATCTTAATGTTTAGAGAAATCACATTTGTCAGATAGTGATTGTTCACATGCAGCCTTTACTTACTGAGTGCTGGCAAGAGAAGTCATCGTTCTATGCACAACCTGTTTTTTTATCTTTGCTTATTTCTTAATGAAATAGCTGCTACCAGCAGCTGTCAGGTTTGAGCTAGATGGGGTGATATGGTCTAACCCAGTGTGGACTTTATAACATTTTATGTTTCCTTGCTACTTCATCTCTTTTTCATCATCTCCTTTGTCTTTCTTTCTCTCAGTTTTTAAAACATAAGCGTGACTTTCACTTCCTCTGATTCTACAGCTGAATCTGCTTTTGTTGGCATATCAGTGTAGCCTTTTTCTACAGGTACAGTTGCAGCCCTCTCTTCTTGTTCACATTACATCACTGTCCTGCTCTGATGTCTGTCTAATATTCCAGAAATGATATGCCCATGACCAATGTATTTTTTGGTCCTCATGACTTCTATCCTGCTCAGTTTCTAATGCATTATCTCCACTTCAGTATTTCCTTCCCTTTCCATAATTTCCAGATTTCTTCCCAGAGCTCCCTTCTCCAGCATAGAGGATTTGCTTTTGTTTTTTTCTTTCCAAGTCTTTGCATCTTTCCTATTTGTTGCCTTGCTTAGTCTTGTAGGACAAGTGAATTCTTCTTATTGTCCAAGTCAGATGTGTATTTAAGAGTCTCACATGCACTAGTGCCAAGAGGAGCTGGACTAGGTGATTTCCAGGTGATCGCCAGAGGCCCTTCTAACCCTAACAATTCCATGATTCTGTGAAATCCTGATATATTCAAAGAGGAACAGTATAACATCAAGGTGTCTGCTAATTTTCCAAGGAAAACAGCACAAACAAGAGAAATGAACTTAGTATTCTCTTAAGACACTGACACCAACTTCTCAATAGTAAGAGTGCCATGCAATACCTCAGGTAGATCACTTAGAGACTAACTGAACATTACTGATGACCTTAATTAATAGAATGCTGTTCCCTCATGAAATGTTGTAGTCTGGTAACATAAACACCTACTTGCTATTATTATTTCTGGGTGGAAAAGCAACACATTTTCTTTAATAAGTTTTGGAAGACAGAACTTGTCATGTTACCCAGTGCAGTGTTGTGCATTTTGAACTAAACCAGTGAACTAAGTAAGCCTTCATCCCATATGCTGAATAACAGTGGTTTCTGAGCATCACACTATCCTCCTGACTAATACTAAGGATGATTTAATGCATTCCTGTCCCTAAGCATTTTTCTTCCTGATACCATTTCTTCCTATCCAATTAGATTCCTATTCCAGATCCTATTTCATCCACGCTTATATCAGTCTTTTTGCCAAAATGAAGACTAAATGTCTAAGACTATTTATTACTCCTCTCCTTCTATTTCTTTTTTGCTTTCTTTTAATCTTCATTTTCCACCTTTCCTCACAAATACATAAAAAAGTTAATGTCTCATATGGCTTTCCTCAGCTACAGAAGGGTGGGGATGCAAAGCATATCCTGCAAATTGTGTGTCAAACCAAACCAGTAATTTCCACATAGTTTCCAACACCTACCAGTTGTTACGGATATCACAGTATTATCAGAGTTATTTAAAACAGTTTTAGATTAGCCAAATGTCAATCTCGCAGCAACTGCACAACCTTCAGGACATCTTTGTGCATATGACAGACTTCCAGCTGCGAAATGATTGCTTAAAAAACCCACGTACTTTCTAAACGAGCATGTACCAATTGTTTTCTTTACAGGGGAAAAATATTTAAAAGTTACAAAATAGGTTCAGCTATTCAAATGTATTATTTCAGCTCATATTACTTTTTCTTTTGAGTCTGAAAGCAAAAAGAATAAATTTCACTACTGTTTGTTTTCACATTTTCAATGTACTGTCATTGCTGTTTTTTTAAAAGTTCCCACTGACTTAAGTATTTTTAAAGCATGTAATTTGTTTGAGGAACAAATCAGAGGTCACAAAACCAACTTAAGTGACTTTGCACAAAGTCTTACTTGAAAATAGTGACAATTCTACTAAAATATCCAACCAGTACCCTCTTCTGTTTGGTTTGTTAGTTCGGGCTCCCCTTATACACCAAGCCTATAACAGATTTCTTTGTATATTACAGTGATGAAAAGAAATTCAATGGGCAGAGCTACAAAAAAAGGTGTTTTCTTTTTCTAGTGGTGCAAAATAGCTTATGGTAGATAAGACAGATGCAGAAAGTTTTGACAAAGTGTAATCAGAAAGACATGACTCAGGGGGTACATGATAAATACAAATGCCCCAGTCACCATACTGTGAAGAACCCACATGGAATTAGCTGCACGAATTCCCATTTTTTAGGAAACAGCTATTCACGCTGGTTGATCTTGCACTGAGGCATAGTCTCAAGTATGTGATAATACATTCTGTCACCATGGAAAGGAATGTACATAATGTAATACCAAAGAATAAATTAGAACATTATATGCTGGCAAAGCTTTCATTCTTATTTCAACACAAACAAGGGTTTAAAAACGTGTAGAAGGTAAACACACGTTCTCAGAGTGGTTTTTGTATTCCACTCACTCGGTTTGCACCTAATTTTGGTTTAATTTTGTTGAGTCTCTAGTTGAACTGAGCTAGTTGTGTCTTAACTATTCAATTACGTATACTCAATGAAAGACTGGACAGAAAGCTATTGCTACTTCACCCTTGGAGGGCATGACTTCCCCCTTGATCTGTAGTGATAAGCAGTAAAATCCTGTTAGTCTCACATAAAAGCATCCAGTGAAATCAGAAGGATATGTTCTTAGTGAGGGGACCAGGATTTGATACAAAACTGTGCTATTGTAAAGATACAGACATTCTGCAAAATTTGTGGTCATATACCCCTACGCCTAAAACAGAAAGATAAGTTAATGAAAACTCTCAGGCAAAGCATTATGTAGTACTTAACAAAGATTTGCACATGAATACGGCTTTAATTAAAGATAAGTTGCCTCCTACCCAGAAATTGCTGCTAGTTTTTGATGAGCCTGATAGGCCATCTCACATCCTCGGGTTCGAGTTTTGTGCAATTCTGCATGCAGAGAAGGACAGGTGACTGAGACATCCCCAATAGAAATGACCAGCTCCCGATAGAGAGCCACCTGGGTATTGAACTCCTGGACAAGCTGAAAAACAAAAACAATTTACATGCATGAGAATTTTTAACTACATTGGTAAAAACAATCCAGTTTTTTAAAAACATGCCCAATCTAGGGCTTGTTCCTGCTTCTCACAATTTCGTACCACACAGGATCAAGAGCACACGATTCAGTAAACAACTAGAGCCTCCATGGCAGCTGCTTCTTCTGTGAGCTATAAATGTTCATCTGTAGGAAAGTAGTGTTTCTGCTTTTAATATCTGAAAGTGTTTGAGTTATTAGTATTAAATATTAAGCAGACAAAAAAACCATCTGCTTTACTAGTAGCATGAGGTTATTTTTTGCTATCATGAAAGGCAAAAATATCTCCAGAAATTACTGCCTATGCTTCTCCTGCTTCCTGATTAACAGCATGTTCAGGGACTGGAATGTAGTATTTGCTTTTAAATTGGCAATTTTGCTAATTTATTTTGTAATTATTTCTGTTCTGTCACTTTCCTTCAACCCAGATTTCTGACTTAAAACTCATCTGCTGTTACTGACTGAGAAGATGTACCAGATAGGCACTTTCCTGTTAAAATTCCAGAAAGCACCTTTTCTAAAGGACATGTGGAAAAAAGAAACAAATCATTAAAAAAACACTACAACCTGTACAGAAATCCAATATCCAGCAGATACATACAGATTTTATTGGATAAATGGATAATTTTAGTGTTATGGAAAGATCATTATTGTTTAGTTCCACTGATCACGTACATGGAATGATATTTTAAAGAAATGAAGCATTTGCTGTCTTCTGAAAGAATGCATATAAGACCATTTGCTCCACATGGTGGCGGGGGTGGAAGGATTAGAGTAATAGAACAGAATATTTATTTATCTGTGTTTTGACCTCAATTCCAAACTATATAAAAACAGACAAGAGTAATTGCTCATAATTCTGCAGTCATCATTACCACCAGAAGTTCAACATACCCAACATAAAAACATACTGAGAACCTGGAGTCTATCAGAGCTACCAATTTTTAAAGTCAAGTCCTCAAATTCTCATGCTCAGGAAATAGGGTCACTTCTGCAGTATTATATTCATACCCTTGATGCATCCCACTGCAATTAACTGTATAGCTGAGAACTGGTATCAAAAATAGTTTTGACCATGCTTTCTGAAATTTCATTTTAAGAATAGCAAATATGTTCCTCTGCTTCAGAAGCAGCAAGTCAACCCAAGTGCACTTCAATACATCTGCACCCTCCCACACCCAGATCCCAAACAAACCCAAAAGCACACACCAAACAATGCCCTAGGCACAATATTTGCTAAACAAGTCTTCAACTTTTATCATTCTGTAGCTTAAGAGAATGCATGAAGGCAATGGAAAGGAAAAAAAATTGTACTGTGTTGTGTCATAGTGTGATTATTCTGCAATGGGAAGAAAAATGTCGCATCCTGCAACTGGTAACTGGTTGCACCAGATCCATTTTGCCAGTTCTCACCTGACATCCCTTGTTTAAACAGACTCTTCCAGCCACCCTACCACTGCCCAGGAAAACAAAACCACACATATGTTGCTAAATCGAGACACAGAAGAAGAAAAAAACCACACTGATTTTACCTCCCAAATCTTATCACAACTTGATAGTCCACCTATAAAACAGAGTTTATTTCTAATCGGTCAATTCTAAAAACTTCTCTGCAACTAACAACATTATGCTGTTGAGAATAAGAAAACAGGCAGAACCTACTAAGATCCACTTGTTGGGTATATTTATAGAGCTACTGTGGCAGCTTTTGTTCCTCCATGCACTGAGAATTGCTCCCAATCTTGAAGCATCAGAGCAGATAATCTGCCAGCACATTTTTCAGCACCAGAGGAAAAAAAAATTGCCAGAATCCAGCAGAATAGAACTAGCAGCTCCATTGCTACTGGACAGAGATTTAGCCAGGTACAGATTTAGCCAGAAAAGTAGCAGTGACTTCATTTTTTTCCTACATCTGTCACTAGCTAGAAGAGTAATTCTGGGGCCCAGTGTCAGGCTGACTGTAGCTCAGGAAGCCTGAAAGGGGGCATACGGTGCTGATTTGGAGGAAAGTGTCAGAATCCAAGCATTTTGAATATGACTGAGGAAAAATCTCATGCCAGAATGTGACAGTCCATAATAACACAGACACAGGTGTTTCACCTGAGGTTTTACAACTGCAACCAGCTACTCTGGGAAGACTGGTAACAGGTACCATATATATCAGGAACAGCATTTCAGGGCTTCTAATTCTGGGTCTCCTTATTTTTTAAATAGGATGCCCTAATGCCCTAAGGATATTAGGGCAAACAAGCGATTGCTGCACAAGATAGCAAGTAGTGCAGTGATTCATTGGAGGCAACTATTTACCCATTCAGGCTTCAGTGCGCCCAAGCCTGGGTACAGATTTGGACGGGTCTACCAAAAAAGCAACTCCAGCTGCTTTGCGGTGTGTGTACTGGGGCGAGGACTCCTGCTCCCTCAGGACTGTCCAGGCGCCCGGCTCCGCTCCCTGTCCCGCAGCCGGCTCCCGCAAGTCTCCTCGAACCTCCCGGCTCCGCTTTGGAACCGCGGCGAGTTGGGGCGCAGGGCAGCACCCCGGCGGGGACTGCGGTTTAAAAAACAGTGCAACTGCACGTGATGGGAATAGCCAAGGTGGCGGGAGGAACGGCACCGCTGCCTGCGCCGGGAGAGCTCGGAAAAGGTAAAAAACTACGGCAAGCCCGCCCGGGGTACCCACCATCTTACAGTCGTCCAGGGTTCTCTGGATCTGGTAGGCGCTATCGGAGCCGCTGCCCCGGCGTTCGCTGTCGCGGCCGTGCGGCGAGGTCCTGCTGCCCTGGAAGATGGAAGCGGCGGAGCGGGGGCGCTTCCTGCGCCCGCTCGGTGCAGCGCTCATGCACACGCATCCGCCGCGCGGAGCCGCCCGCGGGCGCGGGCAGCGCCTTCCCCGCCGCCGCCGCCCCGGACACGGGTGCGGGCCCGCGCCGCTCGTCGCCTCGGCCGGGCCGAAGCCGCGCCGCTCACGGCAGCGAGCGCGGCTGCTGTGGGCGATAGCCTGGCGGCTGCGGGAGAGCCCGGGGAGCGCCCTGCAGCATCGCCTCCGCTACCGCGGGGAGAGGCGGAGGGGCTGGCGCGTGCCCTCCTTTAGAAGCGTGTCAGTCCCCGCGGAACCGCCCCGCCGGTGGCATGCTCCGCCGTCCTCCTTCGCGCAGCCGGCGGGGGGAGTGCGGGGAGCGCGACCCTGCCCGCTGAGGAAGAGCGCCCATGCACCGCCCGGTGCTCCCGGCGGGGACGCCAGACCCGCCGCGTGTGGCCAGGCGCCCGCCGGGAGCGGCGCGGAAGGTTTGGAGGGGCTGGCGCCGTCAGCAGCACCGCCCCCGCGGGGCGGGAGCGCCGCGCCCGCGCCCGCCGCGCCCCGAGCCCTCCCGCGCCGTGAGGGGGCCGGGTCAGCGCCGCGACCGGCCGGGCCCGGGGAGCTGCCGCCCCGCTGGGAGCCGCCCCGGCGCGGCCCGGGAGCGTAGGGCACCGCCCGTCTCCCGTTTGCCGAAGCTCATACCGGTCTTCAAGAGGCGTGCTTAGGCGTCGCTTTTCTTTTTAAAAAAGACTTGGTTCGCTGCTCAATATTTACCAAATTTAGTCAAATGTTAGATAGTGTCCCAACGAGGGACACGAAAATGGTGGAGGATTTGGAGGGGAAGCCTTGTGAGGAGCAGCTGAGGTCACTGGTGTGTTCAGCCTGGAGAAGAAAACACTGAGGGGAGACCTCACTGTGGTCTTCAACATCCTCATGAGGGGAAGCAAAGGGGCAGGTGCCTATCCCATCGCTCTCACAACCAGTGCCAGGATTTGAGGAAATGGCATGAAGCTGAGTCAGGGGAGGTTTAGGTTGGATATCAGAAAATTTTTCACCCAGAGGGTGGTGAACGCTGGAACAGGCTTGCTAGGGAAGCGTAACAGCACCAAGCCTGACAGAGTTCAAGTGTTTGGACGACACTCCAATTCATATGGTGGGATTATTGGGGTGTCCTGCACAGGGCCAGGAGCAGATTCAGTGGTCCTGATAGGTTCCTTCCAACTCAGCATATTCTATGATACTATGACTTTCTTTCTGTCTGTAAAAATACTTCATATTTTGGGGCTCTAACAAAAAGTTTGGTGTTTGTGATGCAACAAGATTGTATTTGTTACTTGTAGGAAAGATTAAATAATAATTGAGTGGAGAAACTCTGTGCACCTGCAGTGCAGTTGCAGTTCACCAGGCTGATGCTCACAGTGCTCCCAGCTCCAATGCTGTGGGGGCTGTGGGGCTGTGCCCCTTCTGTGTCTGCAGCTCCCTTTCCCAGGGTCTCCTGGGGATTGCACTGCCCCAGCACGAGCTATGGCCTGAGCCGGCTTCAGCTTCTGCTGGTCTTGTTCCTTTCTGTACCCAGGGAGCTATGGCTGTTTAGCTCTCTTTTGGTATAATTGTATTTATTCAGGCAGCTGAATAAGAGCTTTTTTATGTTTTGGTAATGTTCTTGAATCCAAAGCAACATTAAACACATCACACAGAGTCACCTCCATCTTGCCAGGGAGCTTGAATATGCCATCAATGGCACTCTGGCAGCTTGAGGAGCTCTTTTCAGGCTGTACTGAACATTACTGTAACACAGACAACCTAATATCCATTTTAATGTGGATATGGCCTATGAATCTACTTTGAAACTCTCTTTAGACTTTTGCTATTTTCACAAAAATGTAAGCTACTGGATATGTGGTTGTTGGATGGATTTGCAGCACTTGCAAGTGCTGTCATCACCTTAGTTAAAGCTAAAATGACCTTGTAATTGTAACTTTACTTTTGTAAACATAATACTAGATTTTCAGCATTCTGTGCAGAAAAACTTGCAGTTTGATAGTTTTAAGGACATCACTTTATTTTCCATGGTTAAGTTAATTCTTTTATAGGAAGCAAATGCATGAAATTATTCTTTGCGCCAGAACATCGTGCAGCTACAATATAGAGAAAAGACATTTCCTAACGACAAGAAAAATATTTTTAATACTGGTAAAAAGCAAAATGAACACATCTTCTCCTCACATCTATATAGGTAAGGGAAAATAAATTTGTAAAGGCAAATTAAATATAACACTGTGCTTTACCAGTGCTAGTGTTTTATTTGTTGCTTAAGGATCATTTTAGTCAAATGTTGTAGTATTTTTTCAGTCTATTTCTAGTCTTATTAAGAGCTACTGCAATAGCAGTAATGAAAGAATGCTAATACTAAACCAAACAACAATAACAATAAATCTATCAAAGAGTCCAGCATGTTTACTTTTATGTTACCTGTCTTGGCTGAAGTTCTGGTCCCAGTCAGCACCCAAGTCCCACTAGCTTTTAAGAAAGATTAGAATTTAGTTCCTGGTGATATATCTGCCCTGTATAAAGCTGAGTCACAGCTGAGTTTTGTCTGTCAGCCAGCATCTGGAACATTTTTGAAGTTCTAGTGTCTTACTTCACTTCACATGGTGTATTCAATATGTCCACATTTGGAAGTGGATATGGTGATTCTGTAATTTGTAAAACTCCATGTTTTCATAATTGTTCTGGCTGACCTCTGGAATGTGGTGAATTTGATGGTACTTCATCAGCATAACCCAGGATTATGTTGGAGAAACATATAAGTGATAAGTATCTGGAGTGACAAGTGTCATCTCAGTTTGGGATGCATAAGAAACAATGATTTTTGTAGGCATCCTGGGAATGAGGATGGGGGAAAGAGCTCCAAGCTAAGCCACCCAAGGCTGTTGCAGGGTAGGCAGTGGAAGCAACAAGAAACAGCAAGGTTTGAAAATATATATCACCAGGAAACAAATGCTCTCTCTTGAAAGCAGATGCATGTATGTTGAAAACTTTCTTGAAGAGAGAGACATGATTCTTCTTGTCTGAACTAGTGTTTCTGTATCTTTTCCTTGCTCTAGCTTCATCTCCTGATGTTTAATGGATTGCAGGAAGCAGGGACTTGTTTCTCCCTCCTATGGCATCCTCTCAAGACCACAGGCAGGTGGCCTTGAAGTAAGTTCAGAAAGTGCATGGCCTGTTATAGTCAAATTCTTTGCAGCTCTATAGCTCATAATGAACCAAAAGTGTATATGCGGGCTTTTCTCTGCCTAGCCTGTATGGTAATTCCAAAACATCAACTGAGATGAATTGTTGTTTAACTTGTGGGTTTCTCTTATTCCATTTTGTTGTAATCTTTGTCCATTTATTGCTCTGGTTGTTGGCTTCTGATGATATTTCTCAAGGGAGTATAGAATGTAATGGACTAGATAAGTTATGAAAGAGAGACTGAATTTCTGAGAAATGTGAGGAAATATCCTTGTAGGGGGAAAAAAAAAGGGAAAAAGATATGTAAAATTTAGGAGGAAAAAAGGCCATTTCTCTAGATGCAGATACATAGAGAGAAGAGGAAAACAAGAAGATACCGGATACTGAAGAAAAAATTAGAAAGTATTTCTGCATGATCTTCATAAGACAGAAAAATAAACTAGAAGTTTTAGAGTTAAATTGAAAATGAAAACAAAAAATTATACACTTTTCTACATTTCTATGAAATTTTTATTTTTAAAGAAATTCTGTCTTTCTAAAGACATTTAAGACAGTGCACAGATTTATACTCTGAAAATGGGGGTGAGATCAGTGTCTGGAGATAAAGCACTTGATTTTTGCACCAGGCTTCCTATGGAGTAAAACTGTTTAACTATCACAAATAAAAATTTAATAATACATAATAATTCATTTGAAAATCACCACTTTAATGGCCATTTCGTTTTCATAAATAATTTCATAAGACTGGGGAGTTAGGGAAAGGAGTGCCACAAGAGGGACTATTCCATACTTACTCCATAAAGTCTTTTATGTATTCCTGACTTCAGAGGTCCTCCAGCAGACACAGCTCCCAGCACTCTTTCTCTTTAGCCTGTGCTCAGTGCAATGCTTATCAAGTAAAGTTATTTTGTAGCAAAGTTTACAAACGTTAGTGTATTTTCAGTAGTACTACTTTAATAGCAAGGTATAGAAAAATATATTATTCAGTTCCTTTAGAAGTGTGTTTTTTTTGACTACAGGTGCATTTTGAATCTAAAAACAATTTATATAGATACCCTTCAAATCAAAGAAACGTATTTGTGTTGATAAATTTATAATCAGTCAATTCCACAAACACAGTCTGTCGTTTAACTTGTGAAGAAGACAGGAACACTTTCCTAAGTTCTGTAGTCTTAGAAGTCTCAATAATTTCTAAGTTAACTTAGGAAGCTTATGTCCATGCAGTGTATTATCAGTGGAGATGCTGAGGAAAAGGCTTACTTTGCTTGCTGTCAAATTTTTATAAAATGTAATCACCAGGGAGACTGTAGCTGTCAGCTCAGTACAGGCATGTTGCTCTTGGTTAGGAATGCATGAAACAACATGCTTAAGCTAGCAAAAATGTAAAAATGGCTACGTCTGCTTTACTTGCCTTCTCTGTAAGTGTTGCAAAAGATTGTTCATAATATTTAAGTCATGCCTTCAGGATTCTAGAAATTATTATGGTAAGATATTTGGCACTTAATAACTATTGCATTCTTTAAACCAGAAAATGAAAGAAATTCAAAATGGGATAATCCACGATATGTTCCCATCTTCTCTAGTTCTTTACCACTTATATTTACATATGTAATTCCAACATGAACTTACACTGTAAGAACAGTCTGTGGGAAAATATCTGTGGGAACACTCAGGAAGGTAACCAATTAAATTTTTCAAATTTATCTGCATTTGCCCAGCACTATATAGGATTTAATTACAAGGAGGTCTAAGAAAAAGGCCCATAGAACCAGATACCTTTTGCTTTCACCTCTATATTTTTTTAAAAA